GGGGGGGGGGGGGAAGAAAAAGTTAAAACGATGCTGACAGATGTGTGTGCTTAAGATTATCTTCCCAGCAGCTACAGCAAAAAGTCTCTACAGATGAAAACAAAACAAAACACACCACACCCCAACCAAGTTACAGACAAAAAGGTGTACTGTTCTGCTTTAAAGCTCATGGATGGTGGCCAGGGTGTGAACATCATAGGCTTACGTACTTTTTTTTTCCATGGCAGCCAAACACAGGCCCTTTCCTGGAGAGAATCAAAGCACTTTAAAATAGAAATACACTTCTGCTATCTACAGGTTATTCCTCTGTTCCTTCAAGAGAATAGAGATCTCATTAGAGAACTAAGTCGCCTGTCCATGGGAAGTCCTCAATGTCAATTTATGAACAGTACACCAAAGCTGCTTTAAAAATACCACCAAAAAAATGTATTTTACTGCACTTTGGAAAATCCAGATTTTATTATAATTGGTCACTTCCTGTACCAGCAGTGTATTAACACCAAAACATTCAGTCCCCACAGATTTTCTTCACACAGAGGCAGCCACGTGCTGAACCCAGAGTTTGTTGCCATCAGCTGGCTTCAGGGACAACAGAAACATCACACCAAATCTACATTTTTCTAATTTGCATTTAGAACGTGCTTTTTTGTTATTTCATTATCACCATCATTTTTCTTGTTACTACACACAGCACACATTAAAAAATGCTAAATGACTGATTTCTCAGCAATGCTTTAAATTATTAGTACATATTGTACCTGTAAAACATGTTCTCTGTACAGCACTTGCTTCTTAAATATTAGCTCAATATTCTACCTGGTATTACTTAGTACTTAAAGTCTTCTTTTATTCAGTTTCAAAAAGGCTACAGTCTAACAAAGTCTCCTCAGTATTTTCTACACCTACAAAATTAAAAAGTCAAACTTTTTTTTTTTTTTTAACTCTAAGTACAAGACAGATTCACAGCTTGATAATGACACATACTTGAAATATTTCATTACTAGTCCCAAATTATTTTTTTAGGTCCGTCCCCTATTTAATTAGATATTCTTACAGATACTATTTATTCCAAACAGGTGCTCAGAAAAATCAATCCCTGGATTTTTCAGACAGTGGCTGTTAAACTGATGTAAGTGAAAATTACTTTTAAAACAGAAAATGTGCCATGCCAAGAAATAAAGACTGCATTCTGTAACAGATGTTAAGTAGTTTAAAGAACCATCCGGCTCTGCAGACTACACTGAGCCAAGCTTTTAATAAAAAGCAGTATTTTGTAACACTTATTCAAACCTACAAATAGTATTTCCAGACCTCCCTTGTTATTTAATAACACCAAGAGCACCACATATGCTGGTCAGGCTACATAGGTGCTCGGAACAATAAAAGAAAATTTTAGAATGTGTGACATACCTGAGAGTTTAAGTTTGCTCCAGGAAGCCCAAGAGCAGCTAGGGCAGGATCGAGAGCAGGAGCTCCTAGAGCAGCTAAAGGAACAGCACCAATCTGTAACGAGGACAGCAATTAGCCAAGGCCATCCTCAAGGGAAAAAAGCTGCTAGACAAAGATTCCTGGGCAGTACACATCTGGAAACTCAAACTGCGTTTTACTTTGCCTTCTAGCTACAAGAAACATGATACTAAGGTCAGTGAGAGTATTTCAGTTTTCCTTTTTCAGGTATTTTGGAGCTTAAGAGATGAAGGATTTTTAATTCCTATAAATATTCTAAACCGGATTTCTGTTTCCTCTGCATCCCAACTGGGGGCAGGGCAAGGGGGAAGTAAAGCATTCCACTACATTCAAGAAATAGTTTAACATTAAATCCTTTTCCAGCGTTAAAATTAAAATTCATTATAAGGTTCTGAGCCACCTACTGCATATCTAAATCATTTTAGGATTTAAATCAATCTTTTACATTCAAAGACAATATATTCTCATTACGTCTCTGCAGATTTCTCAAATTTAGTTAAAACTGACAAATGGGTTGAAAAGCTACTGGAAGAGTAAGTAGGATGACAGCACAGGTCTGAACTCCTTCAATTAATGTCGAAGCCTCATAAAAGAGCTTCAGGTTTTGGTCATTTAAGGTGGGACGATCAAAACAATACTGGAAGGACAGACGCTGTGCTAAAACCCACAGGACCCTCCGTTACGCAAACGCTGCTCCCAGGTCTCGCCCTCCCTTCCCACCGCCTCCTTCCTGACTGCTCGGGCACTGGAGACTCATTTGCCAACGACTGAACCCACGGAGCAGCCGGGGAACCCCTTGATGTGCTGTCTGCTTCGGGCTGACACAGCTGCTCCCTAAAGGATCTCCAGAGCCAGCAAAAAAGCAGCAGGAGCACGTAGGCAAGGGCAAGGCAGCAGAGCCTGCCGCTTCCCGGCCAGGAGCTTTTCAGTTAGCTCTTCTCTTGAAACTCTACAGGCTTCTCCCGGCAGCCTCAAAAGCCACTTTCCTACACACTTATTCTGTGAACACGAACTACAGCTCTAATTTGTCTTTACCTCGTTAGATGCTCAACTCAGTAAATCAAAGGGAGCAACATAACAAGCTTTCCAGATGGGTTTGAAAAAAATTACTGTCGCCCACAATTTTCCATAAAATGGGTGTGTTAAATTCTACCATGAAGTGGATTGGGAGTAGGCTGGGATTCAGTGACAGAACCAAATGAAGGTGGTTCAATGCCCTTTTCAGGAATTTATATACATACAGGGTTTGGTGAAAGAAATCTTTAAGGCGGTCTTTGTTTCTTCCATGACTTTCCTCAAGCTTCAGAGTTAAGCTTTAGACTTTTTCCCCTCTACATATGGTTAAAGAGACCTTCTGAACAACTCAACGGCAAGTATCTTCCATGCCATCAGAAATCATAACAGAAGCTACACAAAGAGCTAAGCACAAGCTGAAGAAGTAGATTGGAGAACTGCAGAATTAACAAAGCTTTATTCTTATTAATTTGCCTCTTGTACTTTTGATTCTGTTCTCTGATACGTGCTTTGACTGAAACTTTTTCTACAACGTATTATTCTTACTGTTCACTTTCCACACAAACACTTGTATATTTGGGTAAAGAGCAAATACAGGCTACCACTTTGCCCCTCAGTTGGAGGATTAAGGGAAGGTATCTTCACAGCATGGCAACTCCTTCACAAATTTACAATCTATGAGATGTTTGTCAAATCTAAGCGCACAATGGGTAAGAGGGATGAGAGAGAAACACTGGGAGGAGCCCTGAGATACCAGAGCATTCTATTAGGGAAATAAGAGTACCTCATCTAGCAACTTATCACCGTTCTGCCACAATCTGTATCCAATAGCTGTAACAAACGCGGGAGGTACATAAAGAAAAACATTCTAGGAATCAGCATTAGCACGCCAGTCTATTTGTCCTGACAAAACCCACGGTAAGTAATCGAACAGAAACCATCCAGTCCCTTCCCGAGAAGCCTACCTGAGAAAGTGGGTTGGGAGTAGGCAGGAGTCCACCTCCGGGCAGCAGACCTGCCACAGCATTGGCTGGTGCCAAGAGAGACAAAGCCTTAGTCTCATCAGGAATAACTCCTGCAGAGAAATAGCCTTGCATTAGAACGCATCCCGTTTCAAAGGCAGAAAATACACAAATACACCCAGAAAATGTCTCCCTGATACACCACCTGAGTTTGTTGAAAGTACTTATGTTGGCTAAAATACAAAGCTTGATGTCTATTAATATTTATCATTAATTTTTTGTCAGAATGAAACTTCAATGTGTGAAAATTTGACTGTTCCTTTTTCTCTACAAATGGTTAAGTTTCTAGGCAAAAAAATAGCACAATACACACTACTTTTTTGTTAACACTGCCAAGATTTCATCACCTGTACTCGATTTTTAAGTCATGAACCAAACGTAAGCAAGCACAGTCGGTTCTCCAGGGGTGTGCTCTCAACTTTCAAAAGCTGTTTTATGAACAACGACTCGTGTCGGCTGCTTCACTATAAAGCACACAGAAAAATCAAGATACACAAGACAAAAAAAGTTTGATTTAGGGGTTAATAATATGGTACAGTTCACTATGTTTTCTTTTACACCTACCATATAAATTTTGTAAAACTTAAAGAGAAGGTATGGAAATATTTTTTGGTTGAATCAAGCGTAGGGCTTTTGCTGACTTGTCAAATGAAAACGAGTCTCTGCAGATCTTCACATACACGCTGTGTGTGTGTGTCTGTGGGTGGATGGGTGCATACATACGGTATATTGTGGCACATTCCTTACCTGTGCAGTAAAATGCATTTGTTCCAGTATGTGCCATGCTTATTGTACCAAGAATGCTGCTACATACTGCCATTTCAGAAGAAACTTCTGGCCCAAAATCTTGCAGCCAACTAAGACAAGTGTCTTATTTTACTGCCTGCTCTGCACATATAATTTTAAGGGTCCTACTACGAAACAAGTAATTATGTAGGTATTTTTATTCTATCCAACAGCAAAAGCCCTATACAGATGGATTAATTTGTTAATGTGCCCAAGCCCCCAAAATGAGAGTTCAATAAAACAATTTTACTATATATTTGCAAATACCAGTAGTGTTTCTGTAATACATATTAAGAAACTGCATCTCATCATAAAACATACAATATGTACAGGGCACTTAAGAGAAACTGGATAAGCTGCAGAAGAAAACTGTTGGGTGGTATTTTCAGCAGGGCCTGGTATATAGTTCAGGCTGAACCAGGGAAAAGAACTGTAAAACACAACAACAAAAAAGAAAAACCACTGTTAAATAAAGGTAATGGTTCCTTCCACCTATACTGAGAAGTGCCGATAATATAAACAAATGTATAATACACAGCACTGTTATCTTGCTTGTGTCATTGAGCTGTCATCAATTTAGATACCAAAAGTTATGGAGGGAGAGGGGGGAAAAAGGTCATTTAGATAAAGGGCAGTAATGCATAAATATATTAACATACCTACAGAGAGATTATGGGGTAATTTTGCATGCAAAATTATGTCTCAGAGGATATTTATAAATTATATCTAAACATTTCAAATTAGTGCAACTACAACATTTCTGGCATCTAAATACAAATCCTCAGACTTATCTTGAGACACCTCATAGAAGATCTGCATCCATTAAAAAAAAAAAATCATGCATCCGATCCTCTAATTGTTTTTTTAAAAAGTATTTAGAAATAAATAAAACTACAATTTTTTAAAAAAAGCAATGAGGCCCCTCACCAGTTAATTTTCATGCTTCAAGAGTTTTTTTTACTGCTGCTTTGTTACAACCATGAAATACTGCATGAATGTGTAGAAATGAAAGAAAAAGAAACAGACAAAAGAAACAAACATTAACCAAAGAACCTAAATACCCCCCCCAGCCATCTTTAACCTTAGAGTTCCTTCCAAATCTAGGAATATCACAGTGAAAATTACAAATACTAAACCTTACCGTAGACTTTGTGTATAGTTCTATAACACAAAGCAACAGCCAACACCAAAATGTCTGTGTATGCTAAAACTGGAGTGCGCTTGTGATATAGGGGATAATTATCGCACTAAACAGATAATAAACATTTACTTTAGTGACAGGCAAAATTCATACAGAATTATCACAATAGAAAATAAAAGATAAAAGGGCCCAGTTCAGCACAGTAGTTAAGCATATGCCTGGCTTTAAGCACATGAGCAATTTCACTAGGGTTTTAAGAATCTTGCTGTATCGTGCTTAAACAGCTTGTTGAATTGGGACCCCGGCAGTTCGCATTTGCAGGGAAAACTCTTACTCCAGTGCAGGGACAAAAGCATGTGATTACAGAACCAGGGGGCATAACTTTCTTGGCTGAACATATATCTCTTGTGATATTGCCACATCATTATGCCAAAAGCATCGACATTCTGAACCGCTAGAACACCACAAGAAACAGCCCATGAGGAACTCCTTGATTTAAACAGGCCCGTTAAAACATTCTACTTGATTATTTTCTTTACACAATCTGAACCAAAACTACTGGGCAGATTTCTCTATGTGCCAGATTTATCCACCATCAAGCACAATGGACAAAGTCAGACTGACAAAGAGAAAAATGTTTTCATCCTTATTGGAAAAGTTAAACACGAACATTCGTCGCCATGGGCCTTGGAGAGTATTTCAGTACTAACTCGGAGGGACTGCTGCTATGTAATTCTTTAATACAAAGACAAGGACAAGATGCCTCTCTACTATGCTATCATTATACCTAAACTAGCGAGAGCAAACAGTAACTCGGTGGTAATTTCAGAATGCGTTCTGTGCTCTCCAAAAGCAGCACGGCTCAATCAAACGTCATGCTGCAGATTCCTACACCCCACAAATTAAGTTTTCGTATCTTTTAAGGAATACAAAGGTAAGACAGCTCCCCAGGCCTCAAAAGACAGCCTACAGCATTACAATGTCTTGATTATAGGTCTGACCCCAGGCCATGTACCAAATTTATTACTCTAGTATGACTTAAACCTGCAGAGATTTTATTTAATTCAAACGATCTGGGAAAATCCATTATTTCAGAAGTAAATCAAGAAACAGTACAATGGAAATCAGTTACTTCTAAAGCAAGTCTAGAAGAGTTTAATAAGACTTCTGTAAGAAGAGGTGTCTTCTCAGCACTTTGTTTTTAAGGTAAGTTCCAAAAACCCTGCTCATTGCCTTTCAAATTACTGTAACACCCTAAAATGTAAAAATAAAAAGAAGAAGAGAAAATGTAGTTAACAAGTGGTTACACCAGGAAAACACTTGGGGACTTGAGTGCTTGCTGGCCTTTAGTTAATGTCTAGAATCCCCTGTAGCTGCAGAGGACCCACTGTTTTTCAGTCATCTGGAAGGGCTTTGCATTTGCCTTCTCCACTACAAAAATCACACACACAAATAACAGAGAGAAGAGTTTATTATTTAGTGAAATTCTATAAAATATATCAAGGATGAACAAGAAAACTTGGAATAAAAAAAAAAACTAGTACCAGTGCCCATTTGGCACCTCTTGGAAGATCTCACTTTCAAATTAAACCGTAATTATTCAAACCCTTGGTATACTGGACTTCACAAGGAGAGCGAGTGCCTTTTCAGGGAAGTTCCCAACTAAAGGCAGTGGCAGCATCTCTCAGAGAAATGTTAATCCACTCTCCCCCGCTCTCAGGGAGGGAGACACCAGCCTCATGAAGAGATTTATGCCTACGTACAAGTGGCAAACACTTCAATTATTAAGGCAAAATTTCCTTAAAATGTTGACCTGCTTGCATAAGTCTGTTTAGGAAAATGTCTCATTGAGACAGATAAAGGGCAAAATTTGCAAATAATTCTGCCTAAAGCGTTAATATTCTAAACTTAAAGACACACAAAACCATTAAGAGGTAAACTTTCCACCTTCATTCAGTGTCACTAGATTTAAAAAATTATTTAATCCATGGGCCAATGGCAATATACCAAGGGTTTCAAAATGTTAACGTCTTACATGTTTGACATTTTACTAACCCTCATTTTTGTGAGCTATACTGAAATAAAATGCCATCGTACGGTGGCTTCATAGACCATTAAACAATTCACAAACCTTCTGCATATGGTACGACTATCAACGCTCTGTCAACGAATACAGTGTTTGTCAGATGCTGGGCCACAACTGCCGAGTCAGGATCATGGAACTTTACAAAACACACACGGGATGAAACAGGCAAAGGAGAATCACTGGAAAAAAAAAAAAGAAAGAAATTACTTAGATGGAAGCAAGTCTGACAGCATGAACCTTGTAACTTCTATTGTCTCCCCGCTTTCACCAAGCCAGGAAGTCTCAGGGGACTACGGGGTACTTCTCCAGGCAGGAGCTCAACTGCAGGTTTGGTATCAAGCGTCATTTTGCATGACCACAGATATAAAATTACCCTGAATGAAGCCAAATTCGCTGTAAAATTGCAGAAATAGTTTTATGGTTTCATTTGTAACTGGACATTAATTCTGTTGTGCACAATATATCTATGACCAGTCACCGAAACACAAACTAGTTTTCATGACCTGTCCGTGGGAAGGGAAGGAGATGAAAAAAAAAAAACTTTGCTCAAAAAAGAGAAAGAGTTACCTACTATGTGTATCTCAACAGTTAACAAAACCAGTAGCTTTACACTCTCTACTTTAGGCTCCAGATTACTTATTACAGTAAATTATGAAACTGTAGCTAAACCATGACAGAAATGAAGAGGACAACGATTAAAAGACCACTGTGATTTTATTTATCAACACAATTTCATAAAAGCTTCTAAACCAAACCTCATTATGCTGCTTCTCACACATACAGAAACTGCCAAGTTGGTTCTGAAGGGACGTACGCTGCTAAACATGTGTCTGCCATTCAGCAGTGACAGAACTAAACACAGAGAAATTGAAGAAGCTCAGGCAGGCAACACTACAGCTGAGATCTCACTAATGGGTGAAAAGTTCCTAAACAACCAAATAAACACACACAGACCTCTTCACCGACTCGACAGCTGAAAACAGGCACCTGTCAGCAGAGCTGTGTAAAAAACCTCAGACAGGAAAATCCAAAAGAGAATGCAGAAGTTCTGAGTCACCTGAATAAAACTGAAATACCTACTTCCTAAAACAATAGGAAAGAGTCGTAGATGAGTCATGCAGCTGGGTCCCCCTCCCCTTCCCTGAAACAAAACCAAACCAAATCCTCGAAAACCAGAGCCAGAGCCAACCCGGTGGAGGTCCTGAATAGGTTTCAAAAGTCCATATATCCTGAAAATGGTGGAGACTTTGCTTTAAACAGATGTATAAACTAAAAGACAGCAAAAAAACCCTGCTATGTAGACACAACTGTGCAGCAGATGGCACAGAAGGTGCAGGGCAGGTACTGAAAGTAGCAGCAAGTGCTAAAGCCCTGGTTCCTAAGCAAGACCAGGGTACACTACACGTGCTGTGCAGCTCCGCCCTCAAGTGCCAGAGGTACAAATCGGCCTAAAGAGGGAGCTCTAAAAAAATATTCATTAATTCCTCATGACAAAGATCTATCTTTACCATCCAGATTCCCAGAAACAGTTGTAAGACTATTTGTTCAAAAGGCATCCCACTGCCAAAACAGTTTTATCTGGGTTGAAGAAACGTTGATCAAGTCTTTAAGCACTGAAAACGCAGAGAGAGTTGTCAGAATTCCGGGGAAAGGAGGACGACTTTGACATCAACAAGACAAGACATACAAGATCTATTTTTGTTAGTGCAAATGCCAAAAAATTATCTAACCTCCAGCACCACTGAGCACAGGCTGAGGCCAACATGCAAGCTACGCCAGCTCAAGAACTGCCCCAAACGTCCATCAAACCAACACTTATAATATAGTTTAACCCGGTGTTAAAAAACAGATTGGAGCAGCCTATTAAAATTAGAAACATCCACTTTACCCGACATTTCGCAGACTTAATTGCAAAGTAATGTTGTAGCAATAAATGAGGGAGATAAAAAAACTGAAACAGTTCTTTTGCATCTATGAATCCTTGCCAAAATGGTGCCTCTTCTTAACCATTTACATAAACCCCTAAAAACCAAAGCAGCACTAGCACACACTGTTTAAGAAAATCCCAGAAGTAAAATTTTAAGGAAAGGTAAATCAAGGAGTTAGGGCATACCTGAACAGTATACTGATCTAAGTTCTACAAAAATGAAACGATTTACTACATAAATGCACTACAATATTTTCAAACATGCTTAAAATGTCTGTGACAACACAGAAACATGAAACATGCTTATATACACGAGTACCCCAGCTGAATCTACAAAACCAACCGAAAATACGTAAAGCTATGCTCATGCAGCTTGACATTTAATACAAATAACTGTATTTCATTTTAAAAAATGTATTTCTAGTCACTCTAAAATCCAAGCCCTGGCTGAGCGAAATTCATCAAGAACAGAATGTTCTCAACAGTTACCAAAAAAAGGCCATCATTATTCTAATTCACCAGAGACTGAAAGACTTAGTAATTCCCTCTCAGACATCACGCTAATGAACACCGAGACACACGACAATTTACTGGGGCTGGTGTCTGAACAACACACCCCCTCTGAAGTACGGGAGATCCTGAAATACAGCAGATAAACAGGGAAATCCAGCCTTTGTACCATAACCTCTAACCACTCGCCCCAAAAGTTCCCTCATATTGCAACCAGCATCTTAAATCTGATTTTTTTAAGGGATATTTCTGCCACTTGCAAAAATGTTATCGCTGATGTAGAATCAGGCCGGAGCAAACAGATTGTCCATGCAAGAGATGTTCTGCAACATTACCATGTTCACTGGGTGGGTAGAAACAGAGTTAAAAAAAAACTCAAAGAAGAACAAACCCCCCAAAAAAGAAGCAATCCATGTGCTTCCCTTGGAAACGAACACTGTCACCCCCTCCTCAGCAGACCAGCTCCCGTGGCAATTGCAAGTAACACCGGGATTCTGACAGAGCCCTTCTGTAACATTCAGTGGCAGTTATCAGACAAGACAAAAGATCTTGCCCGTTTATATGCCACTCAACGTCAGAAATCATTAAGTATGCTCCTAATTTTACCGAGCTTTCATGCTGTAGACTGTATTTTCCATCAGATGTGCTTTTTTCTTGGTAAAATTCTCATTCCATGAAAATCTGACTGGATCATTCCTATCTAAAGAGCAAGATCAAAGAACACTTCGGTTTCTCTATCAAACACAAGTGGCCTGAGAGCTTTTACATCCAAGTTTCAGGGCAGAAAGTTTTGATGGAAAGGCAGTTTTCACCTGCAAAACACAATATGCTGAAATCAGCTTCTATATACACACTTTAAAAAAAAAGCGGAAAAGAAAAAAAAAGCACTCTCAAATCTAGTCCCTCCACTTTTCAGTTTTGCCTACCATGGAGGATAAAGATACACAGAATACAATAAAGACAAGAACCAGACGATGGCATTGGAAAAAAGAGGAAGGAGGGAAGAAAGGGTCTGGGGAGGAAAATGGAAGAAGTCACAGAGCTGGTTGGGGATTACAGGTAATATGTTAATAATTAAAGTTAATATGATGCTGAGGTACACGCAAATCTGTAATAGCTGATTAAATAAACTGGGATAAGGAGATGGATGAGGAAAAAGAAAGAGTAGCATAGCTCAGGGAGTTGTGTCTGATCTGGAAGTCCAGGAGAACAGGGAACTTCTGCAGGTGACAGCAGAACCAGAGTGACTGAGAGAAAGATCAGATAGGGAGGTAGAGCAATGGAAACGGGACTGGTTACTCAGAAACACTTGTGCCCAGTATAATCTGGGACACAAAGAGATTCAGATTATGGAGAGAATTTTCAGATTATAATTTATATCCTGTACCCCCCTAAAAACAGATGAACACCATGGGCAGGAAAGCCAGGACCTGAAGTTTAAAGAAGGAACAGAAAAGGCTTTAGAAGAAACTGATAAAAGAACCTGCCACTATTAGTAAATACACCCCTCTTCGGTGTGAACTGAAATCAGAGACTCTAAAGCATTCCGAGATCGGATCCCTGAGCACCCCAGCGGAGACCCACAGGGGGTCTAGAGGTGCCAGAGCTCTTGGCATCTCTGTGTGCACAACACCATAAAACTTCCTTAAAATAGTAAGGTTAAAAATTAACCCCAGTCCAAAAAAGTGCTGCTCTAGTACTAATTGCACAACCTTTACACACAGTTTTCAAAAAAGCTTTTTCCACTAAGACATACATTCTAGAACGAAGATACAACGTTCACTTCAACAGCTATTCAGTATTTTCTACATCTCCTGTGCAAGGCCTACTTAGTTACACTATTTTCTTCAGTGGCTTTTCTAGAGTTATAATTTTTTCATAAATATGAAAGCTATGTTTATGCAGCTTGACATTAAATACAAATCACTGTATTTCATTTTTTAAAATTAATTTCTAGTCACTCTTATGTTAAGAGTGAATATCTTCATAAAGTAAGAAATCTTCATAATATCCCTACAAGGTGAATAAGTATTATCTTCCTCCTCCTTTTAGGGCTTTGAAATACAAAAGAAATTTAGGCCAAACGTTTTAAGTAATTTTTGGTCATCCAATTTGAGCTATATGGCACCTGGGCTGCTGGAGTTCTTGGCTTTCCTCCCTCAGTGCTCAGCCTTCACTGCCACAGAGGCTGTCAGCTTGATATTTTTCTATACCAACACCGTGACCCAGCTGAAGTGAGAACACCACCAGTGCCAGAACACAGCAGGTAGAAGTCAGCAGGGAGATGCAAGAGCCTGGCCTTTTTGCAGAAACAAACGCCAGGACACAAACCAGTCAATTTGCCCTAAAAACATCTACTGACCGTATCTACTAGTATCCAACATCACAGACACAAGGGTACGACGCAGGTCTCCTGGAAGCCAGCTCTTCCCTTCCCACAGCCCAGCTCTACCACAGAACCATCACAGCTCGCTCTCCAGAGCACAGCCCCTCGCCAGAGCCAGCCTCTGCGCTGAGCAGGGCCCTGCGGGGCCAGTATGCCACCACATGCTTGTGCAAAGGAGCCAAACTCAGAATGTACAGGGAGCCTGGGGTATGGTAAAGGGGAGGGGCGGATTTTTTGTAGACCACTTCATTCTGATATCACAAAAGTATTCTTTTAACAGATTAGTTAATATGTATCTAAAAATACAAAGTTTCAGAAACAGAATTTGCCTATAATAACCTTCCTTAAAAACTGGACAAAATGTTAAAAATACAGAGCAGCACACCAAAAAAACGCATCTGTTTAAAGGTGAGTGACTTCGCTGGCTGCCAAGCACTGCTGGTTCTGCTGTTCAGGCAGAGTTATCCCAGCTGTTTACGCCAACTCTCATCTGGAACTGTCCCTCAGTTTCAGTTATATACGTTCCATTCCGTTTCTTTCTGTGATTCAATTTCCAGCATGAAACTGCTAAAATCCAACCCAAAGTAAGAACCTGCAAGAACACCAGAAATACTATTTCTGAATGTGCATATATAACTAGAGAGCAGAATGGGTGAATTTTCCTGGTTCTGTGCCAGCACAGATTGAAGACTCAATGACAAAAAAAAAAGAATTATTTGTGATAGCTTTTTTTTTTTTCCCCTAAAACAAAGAAATCCAAATAGTCTTGGGTATTAAAAATAACTGTGTTCCTGTGGGATTTTTCTCCAATCAAACAATTCTCCTTCATCACAGCAAAAAGAAACCCTTTCACTCACACAATACACATATAAAAGATCAACATACAATATTAGGCTCTGCAAAACGAATCAAACTGATGCGACCAAAACCAACGTTAACACCCAACTAACATAATAAATGTGTATTATTCGTATATTAGTGATTATATGCCCGTTTTGCACAGGATTCTTTGCAAGGGACGCGTATTTGTATCAAAATTTTGGTTCTGTGGCCAACAGTCTGTAAACTGCCTACAGTTCTGGAGGCTACCCAGGCAGCAGATGTTAGCCAGGCAGGCCCGGAGCAAACAGCTCCTGCAGGAAAACGTGCACCTGAGAGGAGGAATCCTGCGTGTCACTGCATGCCAGAAACGACGGCCTTTTCCCCAGATGGGCGCGTAACGTAATTACGTGAATAATTACAACTGTAGTAACCACGTAAACTCCCAAGGCGACTCTATGCGGGAAGAAAGGCGGCTCGCTCCGAGCCCGCTCCCCGCCAGCCCCCCCTGCACAGCCGCACGGCGCTGACCGGCGGGGCCACCGGGCGAGCTCCCCAGCG